TGAAAGGTTAATTTCCTAGGGATGTCAAATATTTGAAGACTCCAATGGGATCCGGAATCTTCAATGTCGGGGATAAGGCGGTCACTCAGGCAGCAAAACACATATCTGTAAGACTTGAGCTGCAGGATCTCCGTTTCAGAGAGCCTAGAAAAAAGAATAGATGCTTTATCAAGATCAGTGTTCACACTAAATTAATGAAAGTAAGACTGAAGAATGGTGTCGTCCACCCACCGCGCTTTGGGCCAAGCTGCATCATCAGACCTTAATAGCTTAGAAACTTTTATAACCTCTTCCTTCTCCATACAAGGTGCGCTTAAACCTTCTAGGAGAGAAAGGGGTGTAAACCCTATATAGGAGAAAAAGGGTTGTTCGATTTTCAGCGATGAAGATGAAGTGGGCCCATTTAAAGGATTTGTATGATTGACAATGACTCTGAAGGGGGTAGTGACATCACATCGGCTGAACGTACAACATCTGATCGATGTCTTCGAGCAGCTTAGTAAATCCTGCAAATGGGGTAGCGGATTTCTACCCCCGGATATTTACCCCCATGAAAAAACGCCTACGTCATTTTGACGTCACGAGGGGCGGGGCTTATACACGTTCGAGAAACAGCCCGCGACTGGAAATCTACCCCCGGACATCTACCCCCAGACATCTACCCCCAGACATCTACCCCCAGACATCTACCCCCGGACATCTACCCCCGGAAATCTACCCCCATTGGTCAGCTCTTCCGCGTATCGGCCAATATTCATTGTGTTGTATAATTGATTTTATAAATTGCTTTACCTTCTTATATCCAGTAGTAAACATGCGATATGTCGATGTCTGTTTTAACATTATCCATATTTATAATTCAATAAGTTGTAACAGTCCTTTTCAACCCGACCTACTTCACTGATTTTTACGATTGAGGTGTCTTTTAAAAGCTTAAGATCTAGCGCAGCACAAAATGGTAATTAAAAGGATATTTCGATTATGGCTTCAAAATGTTGACCCCTAAGCCTTTGATTTATTCCTAGAAGGTGCTTCCAATGGTTGACCAACTTTTACACTATACAGTAACAGTTTAAAAGTGAAATGTGAATAGTACTCATCAGATCAATTTTTAAGTCAGGTTGTGAAAACATGAATGATCGTCTGCAACTGTAAACAGGAGATGAAAAAGTTATGAAAATAATATAATATTGCGCACTTTTCACATGGTCAAGTGTTACATCGTACTGAACCATTGTTTTTACACACATTTCTTAAAGGATAAAGTGAATAAACTGTGGTGACCTTCCGGTTTATTCAATGTAGGCCTAGTAGGAATAATTGTTTAGTAAAACAAAACTCAGTTGTAAACTGTTAAATTGAGAAAGAGGATCAATAAAAGTCAGGTGTATAATGGTAAATGTTTCATATCATCTAGTAAAAAAAATAGTTTCTAAGATTTAAATGCGTACTAAGAAAGGATTTAAAGTATTTTCTCTTAAATACCTAAAATAAGACAATTCAGTTGTAAACTGTTAAATTGAGAAAGAGGATCAATAAAAAGTCAGGTGTATAATGGTAAATTTTTCATATTACCTAGTAGTAAAAAAATTTAGTTTCTAAGATTTTAGATGCGTACTAAGAAAGGATTTTAAAGTATGTTCTCTTAAATACCTAAAATAAGACAATTATTCAAATTCAAAATAATGGCCACATTCAATTTTTTAAGCATAGCCTAACATCTTTTAATATATATATATACGCCTAAATACCCCCATTGCAGCACATTCGCATATTCAGAGCATGTATAAAGTCTTATTGGAAAATTCTGCCTTAAAACAAAACTTGTCAACTTATGTCCATAAATAAGTGTTCAAAAGATTCATTCATAAGAATACCAAATAGGAAGTGAATAAGCAGGTTTCCTGTTAGTAAAATGTTAAAATGAGGCATTTTAAGGTAGTATACAGAACAGAATTAGGTTAAACCCGTCGACACTGACGGTTACTTTCAAGGCTTATGCTAATTCATTTTATAACTGCGATAAATAGATTGAAGTAATACAAATTTTGAGCATTTAGCTCTTTAACTTTTTTGATGAGTAATAAGTGTAAAAGCAATAATGACTATTGCGTTAGTTACAAAATATGGTTGATCATTCAATGAATAAAATATTTCCCATACCGTACGTCATAACAGTTATTATTACAATGTTAACCGGTTTCTCTTCTTTTGGAAGAACCTTTAAATAGTATTAAAATCGTATTGGTCAATCTTTTGTGATAAACACTTCCGATCCGCGCTCATGCATGCGCTGTTAGCTGTTACTGTATGTGAAAGTTTGTCAACCATTTAAATCACTGTCTGGAAATGAATCAAATGCTTAAGGGTCACACTTTTGAAGCCCTTTATCAACATATGGTTTTAAATACCATTTTTAAATACCAGTGAAGTAGTTCGGGTGAAAAAGGGCTGTTACAACTTATTTTATTAGGAAGATAGATAATGTTAAACAAGGCAATGACATATCACATGCTTAATACTAGATATTAGAGGGTAATGATTAACCGAAGAGACGTTGATTTACATAAAACAATTAATAAAATCAATTACAACAATGAATATTGGCCGATACGTGGCAGAGCTGACCACTGGGGGTAGATTTCCGGGGGTAGATGTCCGGGGGTAGATGTCTGGGGGTAGATGTCCGGGGGTAGATTTCCAGTCGCGGGCTGTTTCTCGACCATGTATAAGCCCCGCCCCTCGTGACGTCAAAATGACGTAGGCGTTTTTTCATGGGGGTAAATATCCGGGGGTAGAAATCCGGCGACCCCTGCAAATATAGGTCTGATTTGTTGTTTTAACTAAAATGTGAGTTTGGGATACCTAAGTTATATTTTTGAGAGTTTTAATGGCCAAATAAATATGATTTTCGTCTCAGGTTATCCACCTGTTATGTTCCAGAGGCAATTTAAATTTTAAATCCTCAATTTAGTGGTAATTTATGAACTCCTTCAGTTTGGGTAGGCGATTGACCAACCAACTTGTTTACTTGTTGCATCGGCCCAGTAAACAAATTTTATGTATGTACTGTGTGTAGGGTTTTATTGTTATAGGTGATCAATCCTGTGTCGACTGTGTCCAAGCAAACAAATCAAATATTAGTGTTTCATCTCCGGTTGTAAAATGTTTCAAAGACTTCTTAACATCTATATTAGACAGCTATATATATATACCTACAGGTACAGGGTGAGTTTTAATTGTCCCCCCCTCCCGCAACTTTTTCAACATTTTTTCTAATATCAATCCCAGACCACTTCTAAACTTTGGTAGTAATTACTTAATTTTAAAAGGTTGTAATTTCCGGCCGCCATCTTGGATTCGCCATATCGGATGCAAAATATTATTTTCAAATGTAAATGTGGGGTTGTGACCCATTATTTCCAACTAGATCTTTACCCTGATTACAATGCCACAACCCGTTTTTAAAAATCTTGATCCATTCCAAAGTTATGAGGGCTTTTTATAACTTTATTTTTAGCCAATTTAAACATTGTGCATTTACAAGCTAAGACCATAATCTCAAAATAGTGCTAGATAAAGATAAGTATACACCACCAGTCATTGTCGACATATTTTCACTTGGTTATGACGGAAATAATTTTTTGCCTGCCATCTTGGATCCGCCATTTCGAAATGTGATAAATTATTTTAAATTTGGTGTTGTGACTCATCATTTCGAATTCCTTTTTTAAGCTGAACTCAATTCCACGATCCGTTTTTCATTTTTATATTTTGATTTTGAAATATTGAAATTTTTAACAAAAAAATTGCAATGTTTCATAAAGAAAACTTGATAACAAAAAAAAGGATTGCTTGCAGCAGAGACCGCTAGAGACCAGCATATCTACCGGCGACAGGGGAGGGGATAGTAATGAAGAGTTCAGCCAGTTCAGTGGTAGCCATTGTTATTGGTTGTTATTTGAAAAAACAAAAATATTTACGTCTAATAACACTTGTAAAGATATATTTGCGCTTTTACTGTTGACTGACAAGACGGTAAATACATATAAAAGTTGGTAAGTGGCGATACTCCAATCATCATCAGACCCAAATAGGCTTCTACTCAATTGATGAGTTTTTTACCTATTCACTCACCTCCCTGCTCGCCATTTGTGCTCTGTAAATATTAAGGTCACTTAAATGTTTCAAATTCTATGTATGAATAAGTGTGTTGTTTAAATTTTATTGACATGAACAATCCAGTTTTTTCTGGTAAAAGTTCAAGGAAGGTAAAAAAGTAAAGTCCTACCAAGAGACCTAAGATTCCATCTATGGAAAATTCGCTAAAATGAAAACACCATAAAATATAACAATAAACTACCAATGAAAAAAGTAAGCTTGAACATTAAGCAATCTGAGAATGTCTGGTCTAAGATAGTTCAGTCTCTTTTTTTTCAACGCTAGTGGAATTTCACGAGAGAGTCACGAGAGAAACGTTTAGTGGATGTGCCGGGGATTGAACCCGTCCCTCCCGCAACGAAGTCCGAGACGCTAACCACTAGGCTAGCAACACAACCAACAACAGTCTTAAACAATGATAGGTTTTCACGCTAAGAAGTCAGTTCTGAAATTTGCTCTTAAGATACACAAGTAGAAGTAAGAAAGTGCAGCCTTACACAAGAATTAATTTGAAGGGAAGGAAACATTTTACTGATTTTTTTCAACTTCTCTTCTTGTTGACATTAGCATATTTGGAATATTCCGTTTTACTGTAAACATTTCAACACAATTAATCTTGAACCATCATTCACATTTTGTTTTACAAGCAATGCCATCATCGGTATTCAGCACTTAACTAAGGCAGACAGGACATTTTATGTATCATCCATGCTTTGGTTTTACACAAGCTGCATGCAAAATACAAACAACAACTACAGTTTACGGATTCCTAAGAATTAAACACGTTGAATCCCACAAAGACAAGAACTCCACCCAACACCGCGTGGATCGTACAGTACCGTATTAACTTGTAACCATGAGCATTTTGGTGGTGCCAGGTGCCACTAACCGTCCTCGCAGCTCTAACGTATCGTAAAAAATGGACATGCAAATTAATAAGACCTGATGTCAGAGCCCCGCTCAAATTGTACCTGAGGCCTAACACTTTATATTTAAAATTAAACTTCGTAGTCGCTGTTTGTAGTTTCCCATCCTGCTCTAATGTTTGCCAGAACAATGACTTTTGCCGGATTCCAACAAGTACCATTTTAGATTAATCAAAGCACAGCTGTAACGGGGTTTATCTTTGATTTTTTTTAAAGAAAAGACATATTGATAGTATTCAGCACATTGTTATATCCTTAGTCATGTGCATATCGCTGACCTATTGGCTGCTGTTCAACATTGTTTTTTGGAATTTTCTACATCCCTATTTAGTACCCCCACTCCCCTGAGTGAGTTAGGTCTTAATTTTTTAAATCACATTTTATTTTATAGCTCACAGAGAGAATAGCTTATATGGTCAATGGTACAGGATACAAGCATTGAGTATACACGTACGTAAATACGTGTATACGTACGTAAATACGTGTGTAAATACGTGTATATACTCAATATGATACACAAGTAAACTACTTCGACTTAAAACTTGGAACTGCAAAACTACCAGAATGGACATCTAAAGCCCTAAAGGCATAAAAAGAATGGAAATCGAACAAGTAGTATGACGTAATTGATTCGTCCCTCTAATCTGCTAGGAACACACAAAACCCGGTTTATTTCTGTTGGATTAAGACGACTGGAGCACTGAGCTGGAAATATACTTGGAGATAGGTAGCATTGAGAACTAACTGTTGCCGTGGGGTAAGTCCGTTGAATTTTCTGTTTACTTATTAAAAATTTAATAAATCAGTAATGGATTTAAACACCCAAAATATATAGTCCTCCGCCATCCCGTAAAGGTACGTCTATTGATTTGGCTAAAATATGTGTTATACAGTCATGTAAAAATTAAAACTTAACAGTTCATTGTTAAATTGTGTATCCATTAGTTGAAATGAAGTTTTTATTTATAAATTAAAACATTTACAATAAATATATGCCATCTATAGATGTTTTGAAATTTAATATTTGAGATTCTAATCTCCAAGACGGTGATGATACCAGCCTTAATTAGGCTCGTTTTTGGAACTAAACTCCATTACATTAGGTATGGTACAATCTCCACATATAATTTGATTATTGCCATAGCTCTACATACCTTAACGCTTGTAAGTTTAGTCGTTTCTTCCTGTAATTATTGACAGAGGCTGACCCAGAAATTTTTTGAGGGAGGTTGCACTTATATTTTTACTTATTTTTACCATGTATCAACAAAACTGTAGTGAACATTAGGGTTCAAATTTACCAAATTTTAAGGCTGGGTATCGGGTAACTGTTTTTTTAACGTCCGAAGTTGAGGATAGGTAAAAATATATATCGGCTTCTTATTATTGGTTGTTATGCAACAATTTCACCGCGGTCGCAGAGGTAACGACAACGAGTATTGGTGTTCGGTTCGATTTTTAAGATTTGGCCGTAATCGGGGGAGGCGATGATAACGTCTTAGCACTCACGGTGCACATGTTCAGGGGTTTGTTGCGATCATGAGAAAGAAGTATGAGTGCCGGACTTACAACAAGTCTAGGGCCGCAAGCGAAAGGGGCCGCATCGTTTGTTACAAAAAACGATCTATTTCAACAACAAAATAATATATATATTTTTCTAAAACTAATATTTTTCGCCACGCTCACGAGTAACGATAAAGATGGCCCATGATAGTGGGAGGTTTTCATGCGATTTTACAATGAACGTGGGTGGTGATGATGATGTCCCCATGATGGCGGGAGATGTTCACGATTTTGCCGCGATAGCGGGTGACTATATAACGAAGTCACCATGTTAGTGGAAGATATTAGCGATTTTACGGCTATCGCAGGTGACGATGATGATGTCCCCATGATAGCGAAAGATGTTAACAATTTTTTCCACGATCACCGGTGACGTTAACAATGCCCCCGCGATGGTAGGAGACGTTAACGATTTTCCGTCATAGCGGGTGACGATAAACATGTTCTCATGATAACGGGAGATGTTTAAAATAAAGGGTGTCCCAATAAGAACGCCGGATTTGAAATGTTAACAAACCATATATTTTCTCGCTAAATTTACAATATGAAACATGAATCTTAAAGCATAGTATCTCCGATTAGTAATTCAGTATTATGTCTTGTAAGTGCCAAACTGCTGAATACTGACAAGCTCGACATCTCTTGATAAAGTTTTCCATCACTTTTTCACACACTTCCTGTTGAATTCCATTAATGGCACGAATCATTTCCTCCTTCAAGTCTAGGATTGTTTGAGGGTTATTGGCGAAAACAAGCGACTTTAAATATCCCCAAAATAGAACTGAGCAAATTTATTCGAACTTATAAATCAATCTTCGGACAGATGGATCATTTGGTGCATTGTCCCGGCCGTAAATAGTGCGCAGCTTCCGTACTTGTAGTGCACTTTAACTATGACCACGCGTTGTTCCGTCGTGTAGCGATTCATGACTACAAATGGGACCTAATACTGATTACATCGCTGATAATTTGGGAATTTCTATTGAAATACAGATAAGGATAAGACGCGCCTCAAATCCGGCGTTCTTACTGGGACACCCTTTATAATGTTGTCCCGATCGCATTTTTTGCCAAGGAGGAGCACCCCCACGCACCCTGGCTGGATTTGCCACTGATTATTGGCTATGTCGTTGTAAATAAAATTAATTGCTTGTTGGTCAGGAGAAGAGCGTTATTTTATTAGTCACATATATTTTGCTTGTTTTATGTCATGATAATGTTAACATTCAGTAAACAAAATATTAGTTGCAGCTAATATTACCAATATTAACAAAGTGGTATTACCAACGATAATCAGCTAATGCAAAAGCTGTTCAAGGGGCTTAATTTAAATGCATAACATGTAGGTAATCGCTGTTATGATGGACCGTTTTTGACGTTAAGTTAGCGAGGCGAGAAACCATCTTGTAGCAGAAAAAGTTTCTTGGTGTATCAAAAAATAAACGCTTTATAATAAAATCAATGCTCAAATTGTACTTGTCTTTGGGCTGTGCCATAGCTCAAAATATGTCTACTTACAAGAACCAAGAAAAAAGTGAAATAAAACATTCATTTTGCCGCCATTTTAATTCCCTCCATCTCTTTTGGATTAATGCGTTTGCTTTGATTGAAGTGAAGTTGGAAGTTGATGATCCAAAGATCCAGTGTCTAGTCCAGTCAAAGAAATACTCGAAACTTCCCTTGTTGTTGATTCTCACACCTAAGTGTTAACTTAACTGGAATTGAATATTGTTCTACTGAACCACAATTGTTTTAAGTGTATATTTATGTTAACGTTGTAAGTTTTAAAGATGTATATTCAAGTTCGTACAGTAGATGCTAAAACTAAAATAACTGTCGACATATCTAAAGTTGCACCTGTGAGTGAGTTGAAGAAACAACTAGAAAGTCATTTTGGGATAAAACCGGAAAACCAGCGTTTATTTTTCCGAGGAAAGCAGGTCAGTCAGTCATCTTGTACCTTTAAGCTAGGCCTATCCATAGTCTCAATAACCGCCATGTAGGCTAGGTCAGAGCAAAACCTAATTATTATTTTGCTAGCCTATGACAGGATTTATGGAATGTTGGTTGTTCAATAGCCTACTAGTGTCAAGAAAGTTCAACTGATATTAGGTGATACTTCTCGTGCCAATGAGGCTAGGCACTAACCTTTAGTTAGCTGGCTATTGTATTCGGACCTGCTTACACCGACTACGAGACCTCTTTAAACCACTTGCCTGCCTAGGCCTAGAACTAAGTATTATCTCTAGCCTATATTGGTGCAGGGCGAGAAAAGGATCATACTGCTTTTACTGTTGTTTCCATAGTAACTTATCAAACTGGCCTACCAATCCTTTACCAACCAATGTATTAATTGCCCTAATTTTAGAAATTGTGTAAAGTCAGTGACTTTGTTCTGCAGCCGAGGTATACATGGCTTTTGGTGGTGAAGTTTCATTAGTGTTATTAGCCTATCCGATAACCGAACAAAGGTTGATTACGTTATGTAGGCCTAATCAAATTACACATGCATGCCAGAGGATTCTACTTGCCACACCTAGGCCTAGCCTATTTGTAACTGTATACCTAGTTACAAGTTATAGAACTTTTTACTTTCAAATTATTTTACAAACAGTTTTAACACAACTGCGTGGCCTCTACTAACACTATCCCAAGGATTCTACAATAAACTGAGTGATAAACAGTGTAGGCCTTACGTTTACTGTACAATGAGTGTTGGGAATAAGGTAGCCTATAGGGTAGGCCTATAGGTAAAGTAGGTGAATTCAAGCCATCTACAAGAGGTTAAAATACCTTTTTCTGTGTAAGTAATCCTCAAGTCAGTTAAGATCTTATATTGCAACACCCTGGAGGAGTCTAGACCTTCACCCTATACCCGCCACCATGCTGTACCTAAAGAGAATTTGTATGACCATGCATTTTATCATGTTTTGTTTATGTTTGTGTGTGACTGAGGGTTAATTCAAAAATTGATTCGGAAGGCAACACTAAAAATTAATTTAAGTTTTTCAGTCTGTAAATTAAGGTCTCTATCCCCAAAGCAGAAAATTTAAATGTGTTTAAACTTTCTGCAACAGACTTGGAAAAATCATATAATTTTCTGTGGGCTTACAAGGTCCAAGTTGTGTGTAAATGAACCGCCTGTGTGATAGTTTTAATAAATATCCAGGTTATATTGTTTATCACCTAATAATATGTTACATGTTTTTGTTATAGCTTGAAAATGGGTACTCTCTTTTTGACTACAACATCAATGTCAATGATATGGTTCAAATCATGGAGAAAGTCACTGTTGAGGAAGCTTCTGCTTCAACTAAATCAGATAAAGAAAATGCTGCAACTGACCCGGAACCCTCAACATCTTCCTCAAATACTGCTGAAAAGGTATTCCTATTCATCAATTAGTTGGTGCTTGTCCTCTTGAAATCTGTTTGATCAAGAGGGTGGTCACTTCATATGAAGGTCGTCATTACACACAAAGTAGGCCTACATAAAAACACGAACACTTATAATTAATCAATCTTTTATGGTAACAGCTTGCCAGCTATGGAACTCTCTACCTAAGTTACCTTATCCAATAAAATCGTTAGAAAAATCTTTTCCGACTGACGGTGGTGCTAAAACGTTATTAAATCTTAACTGGATGACCGTGGCTTGGTGGGAGGGCATGCATTAGGCCTGGGTGTAATGGACGGTGATTGACTGTGTGTGTGGACGGTCGCAGAAACTGTTAACCCACTGGCGCTGACTTACGAGCATTACTCATACGGAAGCTGCAGGCCCGGCGGCTGACTTACCACCAGTGCCGCTCGTGTCACTGCTATGCAGCGCTTAATTTTTTTTTTATGCGCGCTAGTAATTTTTTTTATTATTACTATTTTTCTCCCTTTTTGTTTTTCCTTACTTTTTATGTTTATAAATATATTGTGCATATTGTTTTGCACAGTTACTTATTAATTTTTGTGAATAACAAACAAAGTTTTGTTGCCATGGAAACCAGATATCACCCAAAATCAGTTGTGGTAAGGTAAAACCAATTTTTTCTATGTTATTACTTATAAAAGTAATCAACTTGTGATTTTTCAACGCAGGGAATCAATTATTTAACTTTATAATAATAGTGTCATTTGGTGTTTGGATTAATTATGGAATTTGTAATTCAAGTTTACTTTAAAAAAATACTTTTTTACAATTGTTATTTTTATAATCTTTATAGGCCTAATTTTATTTTATTTTTTGAATTTTACACTGATTATCCAATTACTACTTTTTTGTAGACAATTTTACTGTGAGCAAAATGGCAAAAGAATTATTAATTTATTACCTAAGGTTTTCTTTTTCTATATATAAGAATTAGAGTAAAAGTCTACAAATTCGGTAAAATTAATTGCCGACAGAGAGTGCTGCAGGCAGTGCATTAATTCCTTCCCCAATGGGTTAAATTTACATGAAGGATTTTTTAAATTAAATAAGTAAATATAATTTTGTTGTCATTCCAGGAACCTGAGGAATGTGTAGAACGCAGCATTTACTTCAAGGTGAGGATTTTATATTTGTTGATTTGATATTAATGTTTTGACACATTCTGTATAACTATTATATGGTGTTTATTTATGCTTGTACATTTAAATTAATATTCTCCAAAAGAGACTTTGTGGTTGGATATTCAAATCAGTGCCCAACTTATCTTAGAGTTAACTTCTGTTAGTATTACAAGAAAAATAGTATCAATTTTGTTTAGTTATTATACTATACCCTTTTGTTTGTTAAGTGGTAAATGGCTAGACCTATTATGTGATAATTACATTTGTAGATTGTTGAAGAAAGTTGTAGTAAATGATAGGTTCGTAAAATATAATACTCATTTGGTGATACAAGCCCCATCAGATTTGCTAAATTAATGTGGTGGTAACATTTAACCTTGCTAAATTATAATATAATACTTTTCATCCAATAATTCTAAATAGTGTATCATTGTTAATATGAAACTGAACAAACCTCACATTAGCATAAACAAATTAAAAAAGAAATAGAAAAATTATCTTTTAATAATTGCCCTTTACTCCCTTGAAGAGTTGTCTCCTCATTATCTTAATGTGTTTATTTATTTGATGGCCATGTCTATATATTTTCATTTTTGCACATACTTTTGGTCTGTAACAACTCTATGTACTAGGTTTAGGCCATTCAGATCATTTGAACAAACTTATTCAAATCATCAGTGTGTAGAACATAAGTTAATTGATGAAAATTCCTTGAGGTATTCAGCGATATATTGGTTTTCAGCTCTAGTATGGTTCTATAATAATACTATTAAATAATTCAATAGGGTTTCTCTTTGTTGAAGACTCTTACATTTACCTTTTTCTATATTGAAATGTTATTTAATCAAGTATAACATTTATTTGTTGACCAATTTCTTTTGTAGGTACGAAACCATTGACAGTCAGATTAAAAGGTTTACATTTTAGAATTTTATTACGCTATAAAATTGCAATAATATGATGGAAATTTAACATTTTTATTTAAGTTATTGTTGTTGTGAGCCTGTAATAGGCTATTATATAGGTAAAACAAAAAAATAGCACATTGAAAAGTAAAAGTTTTTAATTGGAATTACAAACTCTTTGATAAAACACGAAACCATGTTATGTATAACTTGAAAGTTCTTGGGTTTGCCCTCTCAATTACAATTAAAGTTCAGTATTGTTTTCCTCTTTGTGCAAGATGGCAAGATGATTTTGGTAACAGTTTAAAACAACATGTTACGTTAATTGCATTTAGTATTAAGTTGGTAGTGAACAATGAGTACAGTAAACGCATGTACAATAAATAGACCAGCAATCACATGTTGTAATTATGCAAGGTCAATCAACTCCCAATCATACCCTGTATATTTTTACAACTCATAACTTAAAACTAAAGATCTGCATTATTTGCCCTAAAGTTATTCTAGGCCGTAGTTTTAAAGTGCTTTCCCTACTTCTTAATTCACATTAGTGTTGTTAAGTTATATTCTGGTTTACTTGTTTTAATGTCACTTAATAATACATTTTATGATAGGTCGGAGAGTACGTAGATACCAGAGACGAAACTTATGGTGCATGGTTCGAAGGAAAGATTTCCAGAATTATTAAGGATAACAACTATGAAGAAAATAAAATAAAATTTTCTTCTGACGAAGCCACTGGCTACCCACATGATGGCTATTTTTATGAAGTTGAATTTCTGGCTGAGTAAGTATCAATTAGAAGTGCATATTAAGTGTGTGTACATATAAAATCAATTAACCTTTGGTCAGTACACTGCTTAGATTAGTTAGGTTTTTTTCATGTTTCGTGTATAAATTTATTCTATGAATGTTGTCAGCGTGTTATCCTAAGATTTTTTAAATACACAAATAGCCTACCTAAACATTCATCTGTCATAAATAATTATTAAAAAGAGTCCTCGTCTTACCTTTCTTCAATAAAGTATTTTTGTAATGGCTTTGAGTTTTTATAGAAACTAGACAAATGTTATGTGAATGGTATTTGTGAATCTGTTTTCACTGATTACAAAATCCAAAAATAACATTCCAATAAAAACACATAAAATACTCCACTTCCTTCCAAAACACTCCTTGATTCAATTTTCCCATGTTCCAGAGGAGAACCTGTTGAAACATCAGTTTTTCGTCTGAAAGATGTTCGACCTCGAGCCAGAGAGGAAGCCCCCTTCAAGGAGTGTAAAGTGGGTCAAAAAGTCCTCGCTAATTACAATGTGGAGGAACCTCATAGAAGAGGATTTTGGTACGAGTCTATCATAACCTTCATGACGCAGACAAAATGGAAACATGATAATGTGATGCATGCAACTGTATTAGTAGGAGATGTTCCTATGAGTGATTGCAAACTTCAATATCCCAATGAACTTTTAAAAATCGCTGAAACTAAACCTCTGGCAGAAAGAGAACCCATACCTGAAGAAGAACCTCCTATTCGTGAAACAGGTTGGTAATTTTTTCGAATCATGCATGTAATAAATTTTACAATAGGCCTAGATTTATTTTAAACAAAAAGTAAAATGTCTAAAATTAACAAAAAATAAATATTATGATTATAAAACATCATATTTTAAGTAACTAAACATGATTAGTATGATGGTACAATTTACCTCCTCATGTAATCCAACTTGTAGTAGTCAGTTGACCTACATGTTTTGCTGTCAATGCAGCATTGATAGGGTAGCAAAAACATAGTTGATATCATTGTCACACACTCACAAATAAAAAAACTATGAAACCAAACTAGTTATGGTCAAAATCAGAAATTTCGAATCTCTAAACCGAAACCTTTGGCAAAACTTAAATCAAATCCCGAATCTTGATTCTCAAAACCTAGACGCGAATCTTTTTTACTTAGCTGGTTACAAGGGTTAAGGTTACAAAAAAATACAGGTAATAATAAAATGTTAAGTATGCAATCAAATTGAAAGAGAAATTGAAACTGAAAAACCCAAAACAACATAAATTTTTATAACATTAAAATAAATTAAGCTCCTGACACCAACAAGTGGTTTAGTGGTCAATATTTATTTGTGTTAAATATCGCTATGAAACTGAGTTGTATGTTGTTCCAGTTAAAGTATTTATGATGCCTTTTGAAGTTCAGAATCAGAATACAATTTACTGTTTGCATAACTGTTAATGGTGATCTGTTTGATCTATTGCTTGTGTACCAGCCTGTGTGGAAAGTGGAAACAGTGTTAGACACAATAATAATTACACAAAATATGTCAGCAAATTCAAGAATATTACTACCAAAATCTTCAATTTAGAAACTTTTGAATCTCGAAACTTGGTGATCGAATCTTGAAACCGAAACTTTTCCAAAGTTTTGGTGGTTTTGAGGTTTGAGATTCGGTTTTGAAACATCACTAAACCAAACATTTAATACTGATGATAGGTCTGATGAGCGAGTACTTACTCACTGACTCGCTGAGCCTTTTACCCTTTTTTAGTAATTACAATTTTTATTTTGAATTAGGATGCCTGTTAATGTGGGATCTCTAAACATTTTTTATTAGAACTTTTTTGCATTTTAGTTCCTTTACGTATCTTGAGCAAATGTTTTTTTAGATATTTAAAGTTTTTATTCTTTTAGAAATTCCACACGATTGTAAACATTGCAACAACAACCCTCGTCGCAATTGTAAGGAATGTGGTTGCTGTGTATGTGGATTAAAAACTGATGAAAGCAAACAAATATTGTGTGACGAATGTGACTCTGCATACCACATCTGGTGCTTGAAACCACCTCTTGAAGCTATTCCTGATACAAATGAATGGTAAATTGCTATTTTATAGAAATTTCAGAACTACTATCACAATTTTATCTATACAGTTACAGTCTAACCTTGATATAACGAACCTCTATGTAACAAATTCCTTGATGTAAGAAATCGTTTTAAATCCCCTAGAAATCTCTATAAGACACCTTGTACATTTTACCTCTACATAATGAACAAACACATCAACAACCTTGATTTAATGAATTTCTGTCGATCCCAACTAAAATAAGTCACCTCAATAAAACAAATTTATCATTGTGAGAACCTCTATATAGCGAAATTAACCTCTTCTCGACGAGTGTGCAAGAAAAGAAACGCCTCATAACAAATTGTCTACGTCTTTCCCACAATATAACAAACCTTTGAAATATATCGACAATCGTCTGCTTCGCTTTACACACCTGTCTGTATGGCCCTATGTCTCAACTGATTTCATTAGCAAGGGACTGATGACGACAGTGAAGAAAGATGAGGATATTTTGGTAGCAGTGACTAGTCGTAAAGCTACCAGGTTAGATTTAAAAATAATAATCAACTACATATGCTAATGATCTTTTTGGATTTAAGATTAACAAACTTGAGATAAATGAGATAAGAGCAGCAATTAATCGCTACTAAACTGCCAACTGCCTTAATTTTTTTTTCTAAATGAGATAGTGGTGGGATAAATAAAATATTTTTGGAGTGATTTAGATTATCATAATAAGTCTTTATACATTTTAATCTCTGCAGCAATTTATTTTTCTTTACTCTTTGGCAGGTATTGCAGTAATTGTAAAAACGATGAAAACGAGATTGTTGGAGCCGGAGGAAAATTGAAGGAGTCAAAGAAAAAGGCCAAGATGGCCTCAAAACAGAATAACACTACTCGTGACTGGGGTAAAGGTATGGCTTGTGTCGGACGAACAAAAGTGTGCACTATAGTTCCGCATGATCACTTTGGACCTGTGCCTGGGATTGAAGTGGGGACATGTTGGAAGTTCAGAATCCAGGTAAGCAGTAGGCTAATCTTCAGAGCTATTATGTTGTATTATGTATTATAACATGTCCAACTTTGACAGCATTAATTTAACAACAAATATTGACATGGGAATTTCTCTCAATCCTGTGTTATTTGAGGGATTATTGCGGACATTTACCATCACAATTTGTACAAATTAAGTTTTTCAAGATTTATAATCTGATCCTGTCCACAGTTGAGAAAGTACCTAAATCATAACAAGATTAGTATTAAAATGTGGCTGCACAAGATGGTGGCTAAGGCCAGACAGAGGTCACTTGTCTGTCTGGCAAATGACCGCTCGTTCAATAAAGTGTCTGCAATAATCTCTCAAATGACATAAACTTACCATCATCAACAATGATCCATTATGTCTGTGAATGCTAGTTGGAATCCACAATCCTCCAATTTTTCAACACAAACCGAGAAAATTACTTAATTTTGTAACATTTGTCAAATGCTGATTTCCAAAGTGAAGGTGAAGTAGCGATTTGAAATTAAATTACATTAAAATATTTTTTTTTTTATTGCAGGCCTCTGAGGCTGGAGTACACAGGCCTCATGTTGCTGGGATTCACGGGCGCGAGAACATTGGAGCGTTCAGTGTGGTCCTTAGCGGAGGCTACGAAGATGACATTGACAACGGAGATGAGTTCCTGTATACAGGCTCTGGGGGTCGAGACCTGACTGGCAATAAACGTACCAACGCCCAAGGGTTTGACCAAACTCTCACCCGTTTTAACAAGTAAATATATGTCCAATACAGTGTGATAATTACAACAAGAAATCGTGCAAGACAAGTGTCAAAACATTCATATGATTGTCATTGTGTCGTCACCGAAAAATAATCAAAATACTGCGTTACGATGAATTGGAAACAAGATGTGTAGGGTATATACACTATCGACACATTAGACATCTGAAAAAAGTGCAGTTGAGCGTAATACTAACAATCAAAGTTAATGCCAAACACTAAATGTTATCCTTGTGTTTGTTTTTTTTTTCTCAAGTTTTTGACCTTAGCCTACTCAAAAATATTTGTGATCCGAAGACGTATAATGCAATACCAAACTACTTAAGTTCTCGTTAAGTAGTTTATTGGTTGTTCACTTGCTTGTGCTTTACGATCCATCTATAACGAAACAAAAACAAAGCAGAAAATAACTACCGAGTTCAAATAAAAGTAAATTGCGTTTAAAACTCTTGTTACTTGGTTGTGACACATAGATCAGCTTAAACCATAAAATCAATGCTACAACTACAGTAACTGTTCAATAGTTTTGGCTACTTGGATCATTAGTAATGTTTTAATTTTTGAATCTGAGTTATTTTTAGTTCTTTAAATGGGTTTTAATGTACTAGTAGGTATAAATAAGTAAGTTTTGCTTATTAAGCGACAAGTTTTGTCTTTGAAATTTCAAATTTCTAACCTGTAAAACCTAGGATTTTGTCTTTGAATTTTATTTTGATCAGACCCTGGACACCCTGAAATTGCATGAATGTTAACATGCTTTATTTGATGTGTTTGCTTCATTCTTATGTTGGGTATAACCATTGACAATATAAACAAAATAGACTTCCCATATGATATAAAAGTTTGAAGCCATGAAAATAGATTAAGTTCAGGACCATCTCACCAGAATTTACTTGGTGTATTGGTTTGAGTAATAACTAAAACCAATGCAGTATCATAGCAAACAGCTGATTGATTTATCACTTAACACAGAATATTGTCATTAGTTGGTCTATCTCAACAGATTGCACCACGATTTTTGGCTTCAAATTTTTACATTACATGGGAAGTCTATTCTGTGTATACTCAATGGTATAACTTAAAAAAATATACTTGAGAATTGATAAATTTTGGTATCTTTACATCACTAATTATTGAATAAAACTAGTCTTAAAAAGTCTGGAAATAGTGTTGAATTTTAAAATGGAAATAAACTAGACACCCTCGTTAATAACAGTTTTCACATTAAAGCTTCATTTTTAAAATCAACAAATTAAAAATAATAATGTTTACACATACCTATGTCGATCTCACAGTCCAAAAGTTAAGTGCATTATTTGTATTCACAGAGCTATCGCAATGAACTGCAATGTTCCATTGAGTGAGAAAGGGGGTGAGGCTAAAGACTGGCGGGGTGGGAAACCCATACGAGTACTCCGCAACTACAAACTAGCCAAACATTCCAAGTACGCACCTGAGGATGGGAACAGGTAAGACCTACATATGATCTGTTACAACTCTTTTTGATACAGAAAAAAATTTTAATATACCATGTTTTTCTATTCCATTTGTAAACAACCATTCTGTGGTATTTGGTTGGTTAGAAACAAACCGAAAAGCTTAATGATTCTTCATCCTCTTTGTTATTTATCAGCTATTATATTCCTATAAAAATCCGGCAAAGTACAAAAGTATCTAGATTCTGGAATACAATATCAAATAAGTCCTAGCCATATGAGTAATTAGCTACCTAAACATTTTGTGGAAGCGAGGAAAGACATATTAATGATTTGTTGTTTTGACCAATTGTGAAAACTGTATAAAATTAATGACCTGTCAATTATTTTAACTAGGTATGATGGGATCTACAAAGTTGTAAAGTATTACCCAGAAAAAGGGAAATCAGGATTCAATGTCTGGCGTTACCTGTTCAGAAGGGATGACCCGGCTCCTGCACCCTGGACCAAAGAAGGAAAGAAAAGAATTGAAAGTTTGGGTTTGGAGATGGAGGTAAAAAAACATATACATAAGGCTTGATTTTACCTACATAATCCAAAGTTTTGTCTGTATATATAATTGTTTCCTTTCCTCTATTTTATCCATTCAGAAGCAAAACTTGCATTTTATTTTATGTGAGTGTTGAATTTGAAAAACCGTTTACAGTAGACACCCTTTTAACCGACCTCGCATTAACCGATAATCGGATTATCGACCCTCAATCATAAAATATTACAATTTGTTTTAACCGAACTTGCTTTGAGAGCAGTTTGGTTTAACCGCCGAATTTCTAGGAATCTCGGCATTTCCACTCCCACGCTCGGCAATGGGAACCATTAGCTTATCTCCACAGGATGTGACTAAGAATAAGTTATTTTGTATTTATCCCAAAAAAAACTTATGTTTTTGAAAACAGCTGCAATTTTTGTAATATAATTTAGAATTATCTTATCGCTAGAGTAAACAAACAATGCAAATTGTAGAGAGGGCAGGCGAGGGGGGTTAACGACTCCAAGGTCAAGATAGTTTTTGTGACTCGAGTCTCCAGTGAGAGGCTATAAATAACCATTCTGTCTCGTAGCAAAATGGTTGCTTGTATCTTTAATTTTGAAAAAAAGTTCTATACTGTATTATGATAGATTTGAAAAGCATCAATTAATATCACAGTACTAAAGTTATTAAAATAAGATTTTTTATTGACTAATTCAATACAAAAAAAGGAGATAAGTGTAGTTTATTTTATAAACAATGCAAGTACGACTTCAAAATAATGATTATATATTTCCAAATGATGATGTTTTAGGGATTGCCCGGTTTAAACAAACCTTTTGAGTTATCCGACCTAGATCCGGTCCCATTCCCCGGTTAAGAGGGGGTCTACTATACCTAACTTTGCTTCCAATCACCTTTATATTATAATTTGGACGTCGAGACACTGACTCATATAATTGGATGTTTCGACATTTGGTCATCGTGCAATACTCCCAAACATAGCGCAATTGTAAGCCGCTAGGCTTGTCTCATTATTTTCATGGTTTGACTTGGTAAAAACTATTTTTGCCTATGATAGTGAATTTAAAGTAATTAATTAATGTTGGCTGTACTTCTAACAGTATCCAGAAGGATATTTGGAAGCATTAGCTACCAATCAGAAAAAAGAAGATGCAGATGAATCGGAGACACCAAAGTCCAAGGGAAAGGGCAAGAAAAGGGTTTTGGAAGAGAGCACCAATACTCAACCCAAAGCTAATGTGAAGAAAGCCAAAGTCCTTAAATATGAGTTGGAAAAGAATGTAGCCTGTGCCATTGAAAAAGATACTGGTAATAACAAACTGTGGGAAGACTGTAAAACCGCTCTGGACTCTGGGAAACCGGTATGTACATGTAGTCAAAGACAAAAGCATTTTCCTTGTAGAAATATTTCATACACTTAAATATTGCAGTGTAATGTTGACCTAGTTCTATATTACTATAGAGTTGAATTCATTATTTCAATGTTAGATGCATCCGATATAGGATATTACAGACTTATTTATGGTGGTCCAATATTTACCAACTTGAAGGCCCATAAAAAACTATCAGAGATAAATTATTGTAACTCAGCTATACATTAACTGACTGAAAGAGCAATGAAGATTCTAACAGTCAAATGGCCAGTCTTCCTACCTTTCTCCAGAAATTTCACTTGTCTTTTTACTTTTTGATCTTTTATAAAATATTATTACCGTAGTGATCTTAGTAAGGTCTGACACCACTATTCTTGTCGTTTTAGTTGCTATGAACCTGTTTAAATTGCCATTAAACAGAGCAGGTGGAATTTCGAGTAAGCTCAAGTTTAGAGTATAGAGGCACATCTGTATAACCTAGAAGTGTTGTCATTAATAGGACAATGGGGTTTCAAAATCAATCAATGTAAGGATAATCTTGTTATTAATAATGTGATTTTATATTGTTTCAGAAATTTCTGTCCAAGGTTGAAGAAACATTTACTTGCATCTGTTGTACGGAACTTGTTTACAAGCCTGTCACTACTGATTGCTCACACAACTTTTGTCTGGTAAGTTTTGTTGTAAATTTGTTGAGTTTCAATATTTATTCTATTTAGTTCTAGTGTTAATATTGTCACTTTAGTTTTATTCCTGTATTTTCAATATGAAAGGTGATTTTTAACAACTTAGTTTTAGCGAATTTCCTTATAGCGGAGGAGATATTAGGCCTACTAGTCGAGTAGATATAATAGGCACTTAAAATAGAACAAACTCTAACAAAAGGGTTTTCAACGTTTTTGGTAGTAACAGGTGTAGTAAGCGCCAAAAAAAGTCTACCAAAATCGGACAACCGGAAGACAGTTTTTTCCAAGATAGCCGCCGTGGGGCCCTCAAATATACAAGATGACTGTAATTATGTTGATTATTAGTTCATGATTGACCGATTTCCACAAAAACTGGTAAATATGTGTAAAACTACCTTAATTTAACATTAAATTATTTTTATTTCGAAATTTGTCTTTATTTAAGGAGATATATCCCCAATTATAAATAACTACCAAAACACTTTATAGTCTTAAACAATTTGTCAAAGTATTGACTTTTATTTTAACTATGGCTTACTTATTGGGTGTTATTAGAATTAGGCACTGGAATTGAGTAAGTACTACTTTAAATATTGGCGGTGGTCCCAAGTCAATATCTAAAAAAATATGAAAAAATTGCATTTGGTTTTTTTTTTCAAAATTTGTCCAATGTTGGGAATATCTGCCATTTTAATCGTGATTTTAGAAGTTTTTCCGTGGACCGATTTTTGGCAAATAAAACTATAAGACGTTTTCTTGCAATTGTTTTAAGGTCATATCTTATATTTCTCTGACTAATAAGAAATCAATTTTTGCTTATTCTCTTTAATATTAACCTCTTGACTCTTGAGTAAGCTAGGTCATGCTACTTTCCCCAGCCCGGGTATGTTTTGCTAATTTTCAGAACTTTTTTTCTGTAACAAATTGACACAGTACCAAAAAGTACCAAAAACCGTTGAAAAACCTTTTGTTAGAATTTGTTCTATCTTGGAGGTTTTTGGGCTAAATCTACCCGTCTATACAGTCGGTGGCCCAGCAAGACCTAGACCCGGGACCGGTTTACTTATTATTTTGATGCCCCCAGAGGCCGAATCACTACCGGTATTCATTAGTATTTTCCATGTATTATGTGTCCGATAATACATTAAGTAGGACGATAAGATTTTGATGAAATTCGGCATGAATGTGTGGGGAGGGTCCACTTGAATGAGTTCTTGAACCAGCAAGATTCGGTCATAAGAATGGGGGTGTTATGAGGTTTTGAAATTGTTCTAAAACTGTTTTGTTTTTCAAGTTTTTACCCTTAAAGAATCAAAATGCAATGTGTGGAGCTCAAAAAACAAATAATTTTATATGTTGAGGCGTTGTAGGATTAAAGGTTACGGAGGAAAATCAAATAAAACTTGACATATAAAAATACCATTTCATTCTCATGGGAAAAAAGTAATTTTAGTTTGCTCGCTTATGGATATATTTTGATAAAATTTAGAGAATTTATTTATTTCATACAATAAAAAAAACAAAAAAACACCTTTTCCATTCCCTGTATCAGCAAACCTAAGTACTTGTTAAATCTAATGTTATATTTAAATTTAAATATGAAATAATTTGACAATTTTAAAGAATTATGTTTGCAAAAATCCAATCAGAAAAATGGAAATTTGCTAACTTACAACACACAACCTTAAATATCTATCAGTGTCGGGGAAAATTATCTATGAAGTGGCATATAGATCTGGAATATCCAATCCAAAATATCTGCGTCATTAACAATAAATAATGTATTCAAATCAAAGACTTAACTAGAATAAAGGGATAGCAACTACTGGCTCACCTTATAAACAGTTCATATAGGCCCTAGTATACCCTAAAGATATGGAACAATCAATATTTCACCCCCTAGGAGACTTCTTACAAGTAGAACTGTATTATTGGCCTATCTGGACTTTTTCCTGAGGTAAGCTAGCTGTTTTCTCTTGACTCCAACAGTCAAAACCCTGGCCTACTGTCACTGTGATGCGTTTCCTTAAACGAAACAAATATAAAACAATACACTCTTTGTCTCCATCGTGTCTATGGTTGCAGATTTGAGATGTGTAATTGTCTATTCTCCCTCTGTATGTCTAATAAACAAGGAGGGTTGTTAAAAAGCGAAGCACTCCAACAATGGGTCAGCAAAACAATTAACTAGTGCTGATTATATTTATTTATGTCATAGGACTGCCTGAAGAGGTCCTTCAACGCTGATGTGCAAACGTGCCCTACTTGTCGGAATCCACTGGAGAAACAGATCTTAAACAATGTAAATTCATCGCTTCAAGATGTGCTCGACATTCTCTTTCCCGGTTATACTAAATCTCGTTAGTTCAATCCTAAACAGACTTTTGCTTTCAGTTTAACAGGTGCCATGAACATGATATAATGAATAATAGATATAATACATTGCACATTGTGCTAAGATAACGTTTACTATGCAATACTCAAGCTGTTTTTAAACTTATGTACATTCCAATCTTCCTAATTGTGCCTTAATATTAATATAGTACATAAACACATGAAAGAAATGTTCCGTTCCAAGCACTGGAAATGTCTTAAGGGGGGGGTCTTGTGGAATAACAGTGAACAAGTTGTCTGTGTTAGTTTTATTTTACTAGTACAATGGTTTGAAAAGGATAACCTGAAAAAGGGGACAACTCAGTTTAGGTCAAATGTATTAGCTATAGAAATCTACTGATTTTTTATTCAAGCTTTAAAATAAGTTATTTATCATACCGCATTGCTTGTATTTACTTAACCTAATTTTTGAAAATGAAATTGGTTGTAATTTAACATATTTATTATATCTATGACTCATTAAGTTATTTGTAGTCAAAAATATACATACATGATGGCAGTTCAGTAAATTTTTTTGAAGGTTTGTGCAGGCACAATTTAAAATATTAATTAGATAGATAGATAGGATTATTGTTCTGTATTGGAAGTTAACCTCTATCTAAAAATATATAACTCGTTTTGAATCTTTGATATATTTTTTTAGTGGCACTTTATTTGACTTGCCCAAATATAGAATCTATCTATCTAGTAATGTTTAGTTATGTTTGACAAGAATTTGTAACCTCTTAAGAGTTATAGTCCAATTAAATTATTCATTGTCTATACCATGTGTGAAAATATAGATATGTTTTAAAAGTTTGTGTAACGACCGTTTAAAATACAAATTAGATAGATGGATAGGATTATTGTTCCGTGCTGGAAGTTAACCTCTATCTAAAAACATATAACTGAAACTCGTTTTGAATCTTTGATATATTTTGAGTGGCACTTATTTGACTTGCCTAAATATATTATCTATCTATCTAGTAATGTTAAGTTACGTTTGACAAGAATTTGTAACCTCATAAGAGTTATAGTCCAATTAAATTATTCATTGTCTATACCATGTGTGAAAATATAGATATGCTTTGAAAGTTTGTGTAAGGACCATTTAAAATACAAATTAGATAGATGGATAGAATTATTTTTCTATGCTGGAAGTTAGCCTCTATCTAAATGTATAACATTGTTTGGAATCTTCAATATATTTTGATTGGCCCATATTTGACTTGGCCAAATATAGTATCTATCTATCTAGTAATGTTAAGTTATGTTTGACAACAATTTGTAACCTCTTAAGTGTTAAAGAGTTCAATTAAATTATTCATTGTTTACTGGTTGTTTTTGTTGTTGCTCCATTCAATATGATCATTTACAAGATTGTGATTAGCCTGGATCAGGTAGTGCTGTTGTACAAGGCCAGTGAATGAGTACAGTACTGACAAGACAATGCTAAAAAATATTTTGGTATATATGATAATTTTCAATCGTTAATAGAGGTTCAAGTGGGATTCTGAGTGAAGAGTGGTTTAGATAAATATTGAGATTTGTAAGAGTTACTTTACTATCTGAGATTGAACATTTAAATTATATAACAGAATTACTTGTGCTTGTGTCTGAGTCCCAAAGTTAAGGTATATTTTTAGAATACTTAAGAAACAATTTCAAGAAGGTGTTTCAACAATTCTCTAACCATTAACCAGGCATCATTTTGTTATCAAAACATTCATGTTAACCCATTTCCCATATATTGGGTAATAATTATACCTACCAATGATACGCAGTCTGCATCCAAAACATTCGTGTAATCATTTTTTAGGGTAGAATACAATATAGGAGAAGGATTCCGAATTAAATGAAAGGGGAGGAAGGGGTGTTATATTGAGTGTGTGCCCACCTTGACTAATCATAAAATTAAATTCTATGATAATTAATCATCTATATGTAAAGGCACCAGTAATGCCACTCTAAAACATTGTTGAAAACGTTTTGTAAAAATTACTATTTTTGTGAGTATGTAAAGAACCTATATTCCTAGTCAGTCTTCTTCAATGGAGGGGTAGAACAGGACAAACGCTAGGCCAGCACTATAGAGTAAATCTCATCAGTCAAACCTTTGCAAATACATCACTTGAGATTGGAAACCTTATAAATTATTTGAAATTTTATTAAAATTTGTTAATTGTGAAAACCCCAAATACTGTTGTCTCAAAAGTTATCACTAATAAAACAAACAACTTTGTGTCCATACCCAAATTGGATGACTATTGCATCAACAACTGGATGCTTAATAGTCTTCTGCAATTAAAGTGGACATTAGACTTCCATGAGAAGAAAACAATTCTTATATAATAGTGACTCAATCTGATTTAAATTTATTTACTGTGTCTCTATTTTAAGAATTAAATTATAATTCCGATTTTCTATACATTAATTTAAAATGTATCTATTTGAAAATAAGCCTAAACATATTATCTCCTCAACAAATGCTCTTTTTGCCTTTATGTGATAACTGTATAAAAGGTCAGTTCAGAGAAACTACAATATGATGTAAAATGTTGTTTGCATTCTATAATACTACTCGTACTCACTGTTGGACCTTAAAGTGTTAGATATCAGCAATCATGGCCTAGAGCTGAGATAATGAGATAGATGATCATCACACCTCACTACACTGCAGTGTACAACCTGACTGTTGCCTAGGTCTCTACTCCAGATTAACCATGTAAGTATTTAAATTAATCTCATCTTGACTAATAATATAAATAATTAGGATCAATAGAATGATTGTTATAAAATATTTTTGTATTAACTATGTAGAAAATGAAAAAAAATATCTTCTTTTAAGGATAGTAACTTTTCTGTATTTTAGTGAATCTCCCATTTAGGTAAGAAGCTATTATCATGCGGTGGCTTGATAACATTTTGGACCTGAGTCCGAATTGCATTTATTTTTTTCTCTACTGTATTCATAATATGTGGAGAAAGAATTGTTTTTGTCAAAATTTTTGAGTTTGAGTTTTGAATAAAAATATTTTGAATTGATGTCTGTATGTGTGGATGTGTATAGAGCAACAGACTACACTCGTGGTTCGATTTTGACATAATTTGGTATGTGGGTACTAATCCATGGTATCTTAGGCAGTTTTCAATATGTAAAAAATTTTAATGGTGATTTTCTCTTAAAAACTTATAAAATGACGAAAAAATCAGATTTTAACATAAACGGATCAAATGATTTTAGTATGTTTATAAATATCTATTATAATATGGTCCTTTTAACCACAACCAATTAACAATGGTACAAACCCCAATGCTGTAAAAATTATGGTTCAAAGTTATTGCAATATTTGTGATTAATAACCCCTCTAATTATCTCGCCCTGTTGCGTTTCTACCTTGCTTTACAAAATTTGTTTGACAATTGTCAAAAACCAACTAACACAATATTTAGAAAATAATAATCTAATCATCCCCTCTCAATTTGGATTTCAGCCTAATCTTAATACTCAAAAATCAGTTACCAATATGATCAACAATATTGCTGGAGCACAGCAGACTGTGGGAGTGCTATGTGACTTTTCCAAGGCCTTTGACTGTGTTAATCACAGAATACTTTCTAGAAAAAATAATTAGACATGGGATACACACAGCATTACAATCACAATGGTTCACTCCTTATCTGAAAACCCATAAACAAAGGATAATAATAAACAAATTACAAAACTGTATTAGTGTCAGATTGGGAGGATGTTCCATTTGGAGTGCCTCAAGGATCAATTCTTGGACCATGTTTATTAGATTTATTTGTAAACGACCTTGGAAGTGTATTTAAGGTGCCAATATTTCAGTATTCAGATGACAGAAATAATTTGCAAAGAGAAAAAATATGTTTACATTCACCACACCATCACCAGAGAGCTTTATTCTCTTGAGGACTGGTTTACTTTCTACAGCCTCTCCATGAATGTATCCAAAAGACAGCTGATACAATTCTCTGCCTCCAATATAAAGACGAGATGAGAGTTGACCATATGAATTCAAACTCAAATGTAATATAGTTTCTCAAAATTCAGTTTGTTATTTAGGAATAAAAATAGACTCACATTTAAAAATTTATCAAAAAAGCTTACTTTTGCTGTATCTGTTTTTCAAGTAATTAGAGATCCAACAAATTTTGATACACAAATTGCAGTATTCATATTATGATTATTTCCTTTCAATTAAAAAATGCCTGTAAAGACTTTTTATGGGGATCGTCTAGTGAAAGCAAAAGTGTTTATTTTAAAAAAAGCGATTATAACATTTTTTGTTCTGAGTGTGAAAATGGGAAGAACAACAAATTTTTACCCCATAAAACCATGATCCTGTAGTCCATCTTGCTGGTTCCCTCTAGAATTAATGTAGGTTTACACTTACATGTCATCAAATCCTATCGATTTTACTCAAGTTATCAAACCAACGGACACATAAATAGATTTATACTGTTTATAGTAAAATAAAAAAGTAAATGGGTTCTGAGTCTTGAAAGACCATACCTCCCATGGGACCAACGCTGCTGTAATAGCATTCCCTTTATGTGAAATTTGCTAATACGGGAAAAGCCAACTTTTTAGAATAGTGGGAAATTTATGATTCTACAAAAAAAATGGGGAAAACTTAAATTAAAAAAAAAAACGAAGGATACCTAATATGGCTGAACTTTTATATTCGACTCAACCACCTAAATTGGTTATTACAATGAATTTTCTATATTAATCGATTGTAGGGATGGTTGTGCCCAACTGTGTTCGATTATTAAACACCTTACAATTAAATTGCATATTGTTTACTATATTAATTTAATTATGTGGCTGATTTAAATTAAGTTTGGAGCTTTTTACTTTTGCAGAATTAATTAATTACTCTCTATAGATACAATTAACATACAATTTTGATGATATAGTCATAGATTGATAAAAATAAAAATAATTATTGGTTCAATATTTTTTGTGTACTATAGAGAAAAATAATTAAATTTAATTATTTTTGTCTATGATTATACCTATCAATTTTGTTCTCAACTTTTCAGAGAGTCTTATCTTTTTTGCAAGTAATTTAACCAAATAATAACTTGAAAAGTACATTCAAATAATAGATCCTCAAAACTGTAAGTTTTACCGACATTTTATGGCAGAATCCGACCATGCCCTTAATTATTGATGAATATTTTTGCATATTGATTGATACTGTAACCATAATGATTAACAATACCTTATGCCAAATTATATCTTATATTTAGTATACAGTAGTTCTATATAGAATTTAAACCAACATTAACACACAGCATGGTGGAAGGAACATACATAGGTGTGCTTTTCCCGTCATATGCTGACGTCACCCAGATTCAAACAAAAAAATCAGCTGATTGTATTGCCATATAAGTATATATATTTTTTTTGATTTGATTGTTATTGTTGTTATAATTTTTCTAAATGGTAAAAAAAATTGTGTTTGCAATCTGAGTGACGTCAGCATATGACGGGAATAGCACACCTATGTATTTACGCCACACTACACTACTACACTATTTTGACGAACTTCCCAATCCCACAAGGATTTAGTCCAGAAAACAGCTGTTTGCCACCAGATGGCTTAATCAAATGGGGGTTTCATTGCGTACTGTATTTGGGTGGCAATTGGCAATAGGCAATGACTAGTCATAAACAAAACATAACCTCTCAGAGGTTATGACTAGTGATTTTTAATCCTTTAGTTGGTGGTAATATATAAGGATTTGTACAGATTTAGTAGTATGGCGTAAACTATCGTACGTCACTCGTCCAAAATGTGTTTATCGGACTCCTATGGTAATCCCACACTCGTCCGGCAAACACTTATTTTCATTTCAGGACTAGTTAGTAACGTAATACACTATTTCCTTCCACCATGAACACACAGCGTAATTCCGTAATTTTAATTTTAGCCCGCCTTCAGGGTATATTAGCAACAAGAGATTATGGTATTTTATTTGTAATATTGTTAAATTATTAGTAGTACGATATTTGTGTACTGTTTCTTGTATGCACTGGCCTTGAAGAATAAATAAATAAACGAGTCGGCAACACTGAATCAATCAAACTAAAATCATTGAATATTTTCATCATTAAATCAAGCTAAAAAAATGCAGACCGCTCACCGCTGGCCGCTGGCTGGATGATGATCGGATCAGAGGGAAGGAGGGAGATTGCAATTGAATAGCTGTTGTGTTGTGTAACTCGCGATTGCTGGAATGGGAAACATAACCTTAAAAGTTAAACCTAATCTAGCCTAGCCTATTACCCAAAATAAACATTCAACTACTTACTCTAGGCGGGTTGTCTTATGTATACATCAAATAGATAACATCCTGTGACTTTAAAAAATGCACTAAATTTCACTCTTTTGTTTTAAGGAATAAGCGACAGGTAAAATACCTTAATAGTAGGTAGCTAAACCCAATTGATGCATAGCCTACACTACTTTAGTCTTATCTTATTTTTCTGTTAGTGTTAGACAAAGAGAATTTAGTCTATGCTACTTTACTCTTCCCTCTATGATATAATATTACACACTTTGTTATAGCCTACAGAGTCCAAATTTTGGAAACAGTTTCTTAACCGGGCTATGCTAATATCGATTGAAACTAAGTTATTGATTCGATTAGTAAACCTTCAGGGTACAGTTTCTTAACTTGGCTACGCTAATATCGATTATCAATCTATATTTTCAATTCCATGGTTTCAATCAATATACACAGCCCAGCTAAGAAACTGTAACCAAATAAAAAAAAAAATTGCTAAGCAATAATTTAATCTTAAGCTAACTGATAAGACTTTATTTATTCATTCACATAGTAAACACCATGTTTAACTTACAATATATACATTTTATTGTTAAGTAATTGATGCAATAAGAAAAACAATATAAGGTAGACATAAAATGACTCATCAATTTACTTTACTTATGCCTCATAGGTCCTAGTTTGAAATCAAAATCATAATAAATTAACCCATTGGGGAAGGAATTAATCCGCTACCTGCAGCACCCTCTGGCGGCAATTAATTTTACCGAATTTGTACACTTTTACTCTAACTGCTATAGAAAGAAAACCTTAGGTAATAAATTAATAATTCTTTCACCATTTTGTTCACAGTAAAATTGTCTACAGAAAATTGTTAATTGGATAGTCAAAGCTGTAAACTAAAAAAAAATATATATATAAAGATTATAAAAATAAAAATTTTAAAAACAATAAGTTATTTTGAAAGTAAACTTGATATACAAATTCCAAGATTAATCCAGACACCAAATAACACTACTATTATAAAGGTCGATCGATTCCCTACGTAGAAAAATCAAAAGTTGTGTACTTTTATAAGTAATAACATTTAAAAAAAATTGTTTGTTTACCTTACCGCAGCTGATTTTTGGTGATATGTGGTTTCCATGGCAACACAAAATTGTTTGTTATTCGCTAAAATAAATGAGTAAATACGCAAATCAAGAAGCAAGATATTTATAAACATTATAATAGTAAGAAGAAACAAAAAGGGCGAAAAATAATAATAACTAAATAAAAAATGGCGTTGCCTAGCGGTGACACGAGCGGCTCTCGTAAGTCGGACTCCGGGCCTGCAGCGGCCGTACGAGTAACGCTCGTAAGTCGGCGCCAATGGGTTAAGTATCGCTCACAAAAATTTTACTTGCCTAACTTAGTATATGGTACCAATAGTGTAGCCTATATCATTCATTGAAATCTGATAACTCTTGTAAAATTTTTATGATCAGGCCTACCTTACCCTAAACAAACAAAAGCGATTAAGTTAGTCGTGGCATTGATTAAAATAAAATAACTTAACCTGACTCATCAAGCTATTAGATTTATGACCACCAACATAAAAAAGTGTTTTTTTATAAAAAATAAATAATATACACAATGTTTTAATAAACCCTAAAACATCTAGAGGTTGTCTGACGGGGGTAAACTTGAGGTTTTTTTTATTGAATGTAGGCTAAGAACAGTCATTCTGTGTATAGTGTACATTTCAACGGTATGATGAGGTACTCACTCCTAAACAACATTGTTTTAAGTTAACAGTATATGACATTAAACACATTTTATCTCCTAATTGATAGCCTAGCTTTTATACCTGTTTTGTTTTGTCCTAAGACGCTAGGCACGAGCCCGGTATGAGTCCCTTTTAAGTACGAGTCCCTTTTAAAGGTGTGCAAAGCATTGGTTAACTAGAACCTAATGCATACATGTTTTCTGCTAGAAAACTTAAGCGTAAAACAAGTGGAGTATCGTAAAGTGAAGAAAACTGAAGACCAGCTACACCCAAACTATGATCCCTCAAGGTATGCCTATTGTCAAGATACCTTTAATCAAGTAAAGCAACAAAGTCGTTTACATGTCATGTTAAGCTGTATGTTATTGGTAGGTCTTAGTAATGCCAGTTCCTGAGGCTCTCAGTCTGCCAAAGCCTATTGCATTATTCACTTAACACCTAACTGATATGGGTCCTGTTGTAAGCATACGATAGTAGGTCTGTGTATTAAATAACATTGGATTCGTACAACGCTGACACTCCAGAGATTGAGTATCTTAAGGCAAATATGAGTGTTCAATGACTGAGATTATAGCATTGTTACAGGCTAAAATCAGCCTGTATTTTAATATTAGAGGACTATTCATTAATTTCCCGATGATCAATGACGGCTAGATCCAGCGTCGAGTCATAAACAAGCTTTTGATTTTAATTACAATGAAACTGACAACCTTCTGATTAGTAGGTGAGCACTACGGTATATCCACTCAGCTATCCCGCAGACAGGGTGATAATGTTCTGCTTTCTAAGAAGTTTTTACTCTTGAAAGCAAATCCTATTTAGGTCACATTATAACCATAAAGTTCATACAGTAGAGATTAGAGAACTATAAGTTAAGTTTCCTCCAAAATACCAAAGCATGGTTTGTTTCTGGACCTTGTTAACATTTCTAAATCATTTGTTTTAATTTTATTGGGATACCTACACAATTATATCTAATTCATGTTTCTTATATTTTCAGAAATAATGCAGCCCTGGTGGATTCTTTCATTAAGAATCGGAGCTTTTGGTTTTCTCAAAGAATTTCGCCCGGAAGATCCTTACATCACTCAGTACTTGGTTGGACCAATTATGAACCTGACTGAAGATGAGGTAGGTCATTAAAACCATTTCTCCTTATCAATACAAGGGTTGTCCGTGACTTAGTTTGAGCTTAAACTAAATATGTTTAACAAAGGACGATATTAAGGCCATATTTTTGTTTGTGAAACAGCTGGTTCCCACCCCTATGGGACAAATAGTTCATAATAATATTCAAAGACGCAAAAGAAATTTGACACAAATAACAAATTAATTTGGTGTCAGTTAATCAATTGAAGAGTAAGGGATGATATTTGGTAACAGGAACAAAAATGTTATCTGAAAAAAGTAAAGTTAATCATTGAGAAAGGTGAATAGTTTGAAAGACCAGAGGGATAAATATGTTGAGATATGGAAATATTGAAATTGAAAGAATTGAATGGATGGAAAAAATTAATTTTTTTATAGTTACAATAGAAAAACTGATTAATTCACATTTTGAAATAACATAGGTATGTTTTTACAATCAATTACTTAAATAAGTTGTAACATATGTTGCATATGTTGCAACATATTGTTGCTGGGAAAAGAGATGTAGGCCTACATTAGGTAAAACATAGAGTGTTAAATGAATGTTCAAAGCTTAGTTTACTGAACAGTCAGTAATCATCCACTATTGAAGTCCATTGCCAGTTGACACAGAGTACAAGGAGTAGTGGGGAGTACAAAGGTGGTCTTAAAAATTTGCACGATGTCACTGTTTCATAGTGTAAGCCAACTGCTGTTTTTCATTAGTCTTGATTGAAATAGCCATAGTGACCAATGTTAGGGAAATGTTGCAAACGGATACGAGAGATTGTAGAATGAATAGGGGACGTATCTATAAGACTGGCAATGACTACAGTTAGCCTTAAGCCGCATCCCCACTATCCCGTTGAAGGCCATTCGTAAAATCCGACCTTGGAATCCTTTGACAACACGTCGGTTTGGAATTGGCGAGCCGTATGCCGATTGGCACCATGCGGCACAAGCCGGCTGTGCGTCCACACTAGCGGCTCGGCAATTCCGATCCATGCTATTCGGCATATTGAGGATACGGCTTTTGAAGTCTGAAACACACCGATCAGAAAGCAGAGTCTCCTTAAGTAGTTGTGCGCATCAAGTGAAGTAGTTGTGCACATGTGATGAGATTTACTATGAGTCAAATAAACTTCTTAACAACAGTGACAAAAGTAGCCTACTTTAAAATTCTTGGAACACTTTAAAGTATTCAACTCAAATTAGGGATGGACAGGATTGAATTTTTAGTTCAGGACGGGACGGGACGGGATTTTTATTTCCTTCCCAATTTTCGGGACGGGACGGGTTTTTTTTCTGTGCATAAAAAGAAAGTCTTGAGTATTGCAGTTACCAAAAAAGACAAACAAAATCAATTTTTACCGTTTGTGGCACTGATCTATAAAAACAAAAAAATGGGTAACAATTTGCAGGTACCTATAGAAACTTGTGACTCGCGGTCGAAATGACTCGCGGTCACGGTGCGATCGTCAAAGTGACCGCGGTCACGGGGTGATCGTCAGTATGACTCGCGGTCACGGCGTGATCGTCGGTATGACTCGCGGTCACGGCGTGATCGTCGGTATGACTTGCGATCACGGCACGATCGTCGGCATGACTCCGCGGTCACGGCGCGAGCGTCCGTATGACTCGCGGTCAAGGCGTGATCGTCGGTATGACTCCGCGGTCACAGCGCGATCGTCGGTATGACTCCGCTGTCACGGAATGATCGTCGGTATGACTCCGCGGTCACAGCGCGATCGTCGGTATGACTCCGCGGTCACGGGGTGATTGTCGGTATGACTCCGCGGTCACGGGGTGATCGTCGGTATGACTTGCGGTCACGGCGTGATTGTCGGTATGACTCGCGGTCTCGGCGGGATCGTCGGTATGACTCCGCGGTCACGGCGCGATCGTCGAAATGACTACGTCTTTTGCGTTCGCGGACCTATCGTGAACATCTCTCGCAATAGCTGCGCCATCGTCACTCGCGAAGCGGAAAATCGCCGACGATCGGACCAAATTCCGTCCGGAAAAATTCCCGAATCAAATGCAATCCCGTCCCGATAATCGGGAATATTTTTTTCCCGAAAAATTCCCGAAATTTCGGGACCCGTCCATCCCTAACTCAAATGAGTCCTTTGATCAACCGATGCTTCTGCTATAAAATAACCAACACCAGGGCTCTGGTGTGTTAATTCAAAACAAAAGGACATCATAATGTGATCAGTTCCTTTTAATTTATGACTGTTTAAAAGGTTAAGATGCTGCAGATACAAGTCACTAACAAAAACAAATTACAATCACCTGAATCATATTTGTTCAAGGTGAACCAGAAAGTGTATCCAATTGCAACGTATGTTGGCCTCGTCCAAATCATTTTTGTATTCCTGCTGACAGATTATCTTTGCTACAAGCCTATCATTGTACTCAACGCTCTCTGTGGGGTAATATCTCAAGGAATCCTTATATGGGGCAGAGGACTAACTGCTGTGCAAGTAAGACTTACTCTTGTCTTGTTATTACTATAAATTTAAGTAGGCTACCTTTAAATATTAACAGCTGATAAGTATACCTTGAACAGGTAATGTTATCTTTTAGCAAATTTCCCCTGTAAAGAATAAACTATTACCCTAGGTCTCAATACAATAGGCCTATGTCCATATTTAACCAAAATAAAAAAAATGTGTTCCCTCCTCCTCCTTTATAACGGTGTTAAAATAAGCAAAACTGGTGTTATGCAATCCCTTACAAACACACTTTATGCCGTCAACTCCCACCCAAGCCAGACACCGTTTATTTAAGGTAGGCTCTCCCACCTGCTAAGCCACATGGTTAGGCTTAATATGGATTGCTCATGTAATCTAATGGAACAGGCACATGTAGAAAGACCTCAGCACTAACTGTCACCATGGGTGACCGGGACGGGTGCTACTATAAGCATGTGCAGCATTAATTAGCGCTTGCAGTTGAGATTCAATGAACTACTTAAGCGCAAGTAGGTTTAGCAGTACGGCCGTAAGCTACACTCGTCAAACTGTCTTTAAATATTAAATTACATATTAAGAAAATGAAATGTTTGAAAGACAAAATATTTTACCTTATATATATATTTTTTTGTCCTAAGACGCTAGGCACAAGCCTGGGATTGTTTTTCACATTACTTCAGGCTAGACCTTGGGGTTGCGGCATTATCACTTAGATAAATCATTGGTGATTTGGTGGGACTTGAACCCCTTGACATTAGGGATTAAAGTCCCGCGCTCTAACCACTAGACCAGCTCGCTCCCCTTACCTTATATGTTAAATAGTTCTTATCCTTTACATGTGTCATTCAAGATCTCCAGACTTAAAAGTATATTTATACCACTCAGATTTATTTTTTGAAACTAATATTTTTTTGTTAATCTTGTCAATAGGTGATGGAGTTTTTCTACGCTACTATGACTGCGTGCGAAGTGGCGTATTACACATACATTTATGCCAAGGTAGATAAAGAGCATTACCAGAAAGTGACAAGCCACATGAGAGCAGCTGCGCTGACTGGAAGGTTTACGTCTGCAGTTACGTCACAGACAGTCCTGTCCCTTGGGCTCCTCACTGTTGCTGACCTCAACCATCTCACCTTCGGAGGTACCTACTGATATTTGGGTTTCAATCAAATACTTAATAATATTTTTGTATATCAATTATTCACCCTATTATTACATCCAACAAAAACTACCAGATTACAGGTATAGAAATATACAAATGACCCCGCTGCAGCAAACCTAGAGACTAAGAGAGACTAAGCGAATTTTCATTTACCTGGCTAGATTTCCACTAAAATATTTCCTTAAAATTGTTGGATTTATTTCCTATTTAAATAGCATTAATTTTAATGTGAACTTAAGTTTGCTGCTACAGCAAAAGTAATGAGGTGGGTTTTTTTATTGATACGTTGATAGATTTAGTATGAAATAAACAAATTTTCCAAGTTTGATTACAATATATCCATAAAGAAGCAAACTACAACTAACAGTTGATTTCTTTTCTGTTCTTATTCATAATTATTAATATTATTGTTTTTAGCATAAAACGAAGATATTCCTAACAATTTAGAGGAAATCGTTGCAGTTGTTTTTGAAATCATTGTGCTTGAAAACATTACTTGTATTATGGTATAGGATTTGAGAGTGGCACTAGTACTTTCTTTGTCACACTTTTGAATTAATTTGTTAATGATTTCCCTAGCCTGATTAGTTCCAGTTTGTCCCTTAAAATGAACCAGTAAAAATTCAACTAAGGATAGCCTACATACACATTTGCTATGACATTACTGACATTAGTAACCAAAGCCCTATTAAAAACACCACTGGTTAGAAGTTTCGGTCAAGAGTAGATAATAATCAGCTTAAATATTGCAGTTGTAATCAAAGGTGGTACTATTTAAAATAGGCCTAGTTAAAAAAAAAGTTTTTACTGTTCTACATTCTTTTTTGGCTATAACTTTCTTTAAAGTGTTTGAATTGTATAGCTTAAATCTGAAATACTATTTTAGGGTAAGTTTTAAGTTATGTTTTAAAACTATTCTGTGTTACTTGATACTGTGGCCAGAGGTTTGGTACTTTTTTGTTTGTGTTGCTCTAAATATTTACTTCATGAGAGCACAATGTTTGCAGGTATGTGCTGTGCGTTAGTGTGTGCCCTCACTCTACCATCCATGAGCCACAGTCTTTACTTTCACAGAAAAGCTCCCAAACCCATCAACAGGGATGACAGTCTTTCAGGTAAGCAAATTTTTATTTATATTCATGTTGCTTTGAAATGTTCATATATCAAACATTGTGTGAACTATAAAATAATCAAGAATATAATTTAAAACATAGTTTTAGAGAGGCTAAATAATCTCAATTTCAATCAAATTAACAATAGTGTGAGGGCAAGATTCATTTTAGTTTTAGCGAATTTCCCATATAGGGAGCTATTTTTTTCATATTTACCACTCTGATTGATAAAGTAAATATGGTGAAAGTGCTTGCATAAAGTACCTTGTTCTGTTTTATTCCTTATGATAGAAAAAATAAATAATGTTGTCTCATGTTACCGGTATTTATATTGATAATATTTCATAGCCTATATAGGTATACTGTATACAGTAGAACCTCTTTAATCCGAACTAATTGGGACCAGGGGTAGTTCGGACTAGTGAATAGTTCGGATTACAGAACATGTTGTTGTTTTTACATAACAATAGCTAAAACATGGCTAAAATTGATCTAAATTATTTCGGGAAAAGTGAAAAAAATGTTTTATAAATTAAAATTCAGTGTTTATTTAATACAGTAGTAAACATGGTGAATAAACAGCACTGTACATTAAATACAGTATACAATAAATAACTGCTGTACTGTGTATAGAGTACAGCAATGAGGGGTTCAGATTAGTGGATGTTCGGATTACGGGGGTTCGGATTAAAGAGGTTCTACTGTATATATATTTCAGGGGAACTTTACTAGGGAGGGCTTTTACTAGGATAATAGCTTATTAGAATGGGAAAGATTCACCTTAGCACAAGAAACACTATACACAAATATTCTTAATTTTTTGTGTAGTATAAAGTTTTTGCTAGACCCTTGTTCTCTGTGATAAAATCAGTGGCGGCTCGTCCATAGGAGCACATGAGCTGGTCAACCCCTAATGAAATAGAGCACAAACAACAATGATAACACTTGTTTATAATAGGATCATGGTCTATTAATCAGTAAGTCTTAACAAGAAACACCAAAACAAGATATGTCAGCGTAACTATAGGGCCTGCAACCTGAGTGCGGCAGTAAGCACAAACACTTCTGTCTTACCATTAAAATGGACGGGTTAATTTTGTGCCGGTGGTCGCTGCCTAAAAGCAGCTCCGAGCGCTCTCACTAGCTGACAAGGCACACGTTACATGTATTAGTCACTTGTTGATCTGTCACTTCACTTCACTAGTTCACTGTGTCACTTACTACCTCAGTCAGTGTCAGTAGTTGTCTGCTTGGAATAAAGTGTTAGGGCTAAGAAATGCTGAAATGTAACCAGCAGTGTAATGATTTGGAATATTGGTGTTCAGTCAAGGCCCCACTAGAAAAAACAGGTTATGTTGAGGATTCATGACGTCATTGATAGATTTCATTGATAAATTCATTGCCATAATGTTTCCCCCCTTATGTTCCCTTATGTTCCCTTATGTTTTAGGTAAATAAACAAGCTGGCTGTTTGTAAGATTTTAATGGTAACAGTTTAGTACAACTATCCACCACTGTGACATAGTGTTATGCTGCCCGTGCTGCAGCATGGCCTGTTTTTCCAGTGGGGCCTTGATTCAGTAATGTTTCAATTTTATAGTGTATTTTGCTGTAATGGAAAGTCAAAGTGTACAGAAATATAGGCCTACTATTAAAAATGAAAAACAAGTATTGTTTGTAAATTTATCATTGGAAGAAATTATTTGTATCACTAAAAGTAGTGTAGTTCAACTCCAGGCTTAATTTATTTAATTTTGAGTTAAGGTATTTTTCTAATTTGATGGCATATCATTTGTAATAATATATAATATCTATAAAAAATAAATCAGTTTCTTTTTATAGCAATTGTGTAGTATTGTTACATAATGGTTTTAATGAAACTTTTTTACCAACAAAAGAATTTGGCAGCAATAAATGGCTATGAAGAGTCAAAAAAGTCATCTTTGTAACCCATAGCCCTTCCACACCAGTATTTTCCCTTTCACAAGGCCTGGGAACTTCCCAACTAAATGGTCACCAGCTGCCACTGGATACAATACTAAGATTTGTATTTTAATGTTTTTGGAAATACTCTTGAGCTGCTGGTTTGCTGTATAGTGGGTAAATTTGTTGCTCAAAATCAAGCATAATACATTAGTTATAGATAAAACATAAAAACTATATTTTAATTCTTAATATTCAGAGTCAGCGAAGCTAACATACATTCTTCTTACTTGTTTACTTTTTGAATATTTCAAATATCGGACAGTTGATCTTCCATCAGTGACATAATATTTATAAAAACTTCATTATATGTACATAGAACTTAAACTCCTATTGGTCAAAACCCTGGAAAATGGTTTAGTTTTACTTTTCAAGAGGAATGTCTAGTAAAGTAAGAACTTTAATTTGTAACCAAGTAAGGTAGGTAGGTCAAATCATAGGAGAATTATTTGAAAAGGCTGTTATTAAAAACCAATCAATTCCTTAATAACATAGATAATTTAATTTCAGAACAAACAAACAGCTCTGCAACTCCCCATGAATCTTCTCGGTTGAACCTAAATCACAGCAAATACTCTCTTGAGCAAGGTATGTTTTAGTTTTTGGTCTATGTCAAGTTTACTTGAATACATTGAGCTTAAACACAAATTTAAATTTCTTAACCATTACTTTTGCCTTAAATTTTGTTGTTGACTTTTCTCTTCAACCATAAAAACAAAATTCTACAGTTAAAGTCTTTTTTGCTATCCCAGTTTCAAGGAATTGAATTATATTAGATTTACCTCTGTTGCTGTTGCCTGAGTTCTTGTAGGTAAGATGTTTGTGTCACCCAATGCATTTCTCTACCTTGTGTGGGATCTTCATGGGTCTTCTTAGTTAAGGGTGCGCTCTACCCGTCTGGCGCGCGCAAATGTAAGGGTTTTAGTTCTTCCTGATTGTAGCCCCAATTGTGAACCGATTTAAAAGATCTTGGTGTCATATTTTTCGTTAAATGTTATTGTAGGTTTCCCGTTTTTTTTAATTTTGATAATTTAAAAAATGTTGGGCTCAAAGGTTGGTGAAAAATGTAAAAAATAGGAGTTTTTTATCATGAGTTTTAATACATTAAAATAATTTTTAGAGAAAAAATAAAAAACGGGAAACCTGCAATAGATTCTTAAAAACAAGAACCTGGAATTAGTTTACTAAAAAGTTGAATGATGACTATGTAATCGTGCAGACTTGAAAGGCTTGCAAGCGCTCTTCAAGGCGCCGTGCAGTGGCGCGGCCATGCGGCCAACGGCTCAACCTAAAGTCGGCTCTCCCACCACAGCCATCGATCGATATTTCCCCTCCTCTCGGTTGATTCTGTTCTATCTTTGCGTCGTCGCCGTTTTTACACATATGAGTATACTGTCCTCTTTGTAAACAGTTATACTCAGCCAACGCAACTTGCTTGCACAGATACAGCTTTAAAACTTTACCAAAATATAAGTTTGTTTATAAACGTCGGGTATGAGATTGTTGTAATAACAACCATAATAAAAGTGTTTTAAGAAAACCAATACTCAATAGTACTGTATTATAACAGCATTTTTAAATTTTTGTAACCAACCCCTCCAAGTTGGGGACTTGAATCTGATACCTCAAATGTTCTAGCTAGACTATTGACCACTCAGCCATTCAACTTCAAGTTTAAATCCACTACAAGTCATAACACGGGTCTACAAATAAAATACCCTGTCGCAGCAAAACTATTCACTAAGCGAATTTCAACTTGTATGATTACAGTATCTTTTACTAAAATATTTCCATAAGTAAGACAAACTTATTCCTATTTAAATAACATTAGATTTAACGAGTGCTTAGGTTTGCTGCCACGGGGAAGGTAAAAAGTGTTTCTTTACCATACGTCAGTAGAATGAAATTAATGAATTTGCCAAATGTTATCAACATACAGTATATCCATAAACAAGTAAATTAAAACGGTTTAAATTTTCTCCATAAGAGTAACATGGTAATTTTTAACAACACTTTTTTTTTATTTTCTTCCTGACCGTAGGCATACAACAGCGCTTCAATATACTAAATTACTCTGCACCGATGACCTCTTGCCAAGATCAAGTTTTCGGTCAAATAGTATATTTATTTATTTATTTATTATAGAGAGGGGTTATAAGTGGCTAAAGCCGGGTTTACACGCTACGATAAAACGTAACGATTTGTCTGCAACGACAAAACGTTCATGCAAGACGGAACGTGTAAACTGGTAGTCGTTACGTTTTGTCTGAGTTGGAGTGAGGTTGGAAGGTTGGTGGAAATTTCCACCAATTTCTTTAGATCGTAGCGATTTTCTGTAGATCGTAGCGACAAGTCGTTGCGTGTAAACGGTGACTCGGTAATCATAACCTCAAATTTCGCTGAGTTCGTTGGAAGAGATTTACTTGTACGCGCAAATCTCTCACCAATTAATTAAATGCGCCTTCCAATTGTATAAAAAAAAAAAAAACTCTTATCCACCATAACATCTAAATAGGTCGTTTTCGTAGTTCATTGAATGCACCAGCCATAATTAAAAAAGCAGAGGCTGTTATGTCATCCATGGCAATTTGTAGAACACAATATAATCCAAATCAGCCACCGAGCCTCACCACATCACAATAAAAGAGAGTACTACCCTGCCAGTTGTAGTCGCGGGACTTGTGCCTGGAATTGAAACGGCATGACAAACTACGTGCGACATGTGCCGCGACATGGCCTCGACATGTGCCGCGACTTGTGCCTGCGACTTGTAGGAATGGAAACGTAGCTTGAGGTTTGTTTTAACCTAAACATGTTTTTTATAATTTATTTAGGCAAATTAAAACTGATTATCGTTTTTTAACACAACTAAAAACATGAAAAATGTAGTAAGCGAGGATCTTTTTTATTTTTTGGTCAGGAAAAAAATTCCTGCAGCAAAGTTTTAGCTTAAAGTATGAATTTTATTTTTTATATGAAGCTTTTTTTGATACGGAGTTTGCTTGTATCATTTTTCAGCAATTAAAAATGGGCATAAAATCGCTTGGCGCGGCATTGGCGCTAGGAGCTCGGCCGGCTACTGTCGGGGAAATAAATATGTGCACTCGAGTTTGAGCCTAAATATCTCTTAGATGAATTATCCGAGTTTGTTGAAACAAAAATAAAATATAAGCTGGTTTAAATAAATTTTACGTGGTAACAACGAAAAAAAAATCCGTTTAACAAAAAAATTTATATAGTTGAAAGATACTAAAAAGTACCGGTTTTTAAGAAACTCTGCACTAACACTGATGTTTAAAATTTAATTGTAAAAAAATCACTTAGCCAATCTTTCTGAAATTTTTATGGCTTACTGGTAGGTTTATTGTTAACATTTCCATGCATTGTAAAATTTTTACTCGCAATAGTTCTTATGCTGCTGTTAATTTAAAACGTAAGCTAACATCGTTAATAAGACGCTAAAAATTCCATTCAAAATACCATCGTGTTTGTCATGACACAAGAAATAACACCAATATGACAGATTTATAATGCGAACAAAGGTGTTTTTAAAACATATTTATATTTGTAAACAAAAATGTCTCCCGTGACTGGCAGCGGGCCCGCCTGGTGTTTGTACGATATTTAGGCATCAGTTTACGGGATTTAGATACTCAGTTTCTGGCATTTAATTATCATAATACACAATAAATACGTCATTACGTTACGAAGGATGGGTAACTAAATTTACAAGCGTATGTTGTAGCGTATGTGTAACAGGTTGCTATGACGTTATTTGCGAGATAACATTTAAAAAGGTAAACAAGACTCGCCACGTATGTTAGTCAACGAATCGTCTAAAAAGTACATTACCGTATAGGACACAGAAAAAAGGAAGAACAATCATATTTATATTATTGAGCATAATTTACTACAAAATGAATACGGTAACCAATAATTATGGTCGCCGGAATAAGGCAGAAGCAACCCTGACTTTACCCGACGTAACATTGACTTTGAATACTGCAAATAGGCATCTTATTTATGTGAACCAAATAGACCATTGTCATTTAGATTGCTTTATTTGTTAACCACACAACCTTACTTAAATAATTGGTTTTAACTAGGGTGGTCTGCCGTTACACTTTAGACGCATAAATGAGCGAAGCATTATTTAAAGATTGTCAATGGCTAAAGCAGCTAACACCCTTCAATATGTTCCCTTTCAACAGATTCACCGTTTGTTTGCCCGATATTATTTCAATTCTAAAGAATGACAAATTTATCTGATAGTTTATACTGCACCTTTGTAGTGAAACTGGCCATCCTGACCATTTGCTTGTACTTTGTAAATGGGCATAGCAGGATGTACTCGTGCAATCAACATTTGTTCTACAATCGTCAGGTCAGTTAATTCGTTCGGGACACTTGACACATCCATATTATTTAACACCGTGAATTTAGTTGCATTTGAACGCCATGCGAACAAATCGGTGATTGGTTTGAAGCTGTTAGTTGTTGGCGATGACAGTTAGTGCTGGTGTAACATTTTTGTGCATCTAATTCATGTTGGAATTGATTAGCTAACTGCCTATCATTATCAGCTTCTTCCGCCACTGCTTCATCTGGTTCTTCTTGTTCACGACGCCACTCTCTTACAATATTTGCATTATCGGTGCGACGACCAATATTACGACGTGGCCTTTGAGGCATGCTCAAAACAAAGATAGCAAAACTGTTACTTCCATTGATAAACTGTTACATTCCAACTTTAACCTATGATGAAAGTAAACATTGAAATGTAAACAAAACGGTTACAAACAATTATCATATGTTTATTTTATTTAAATGAAACGAGATAAACCCATATGTCATAAACCCGGGTCGCCGGAATTCTACCCCCGGATATTTACCCCCATGAAAAAACGCCTACGTCATTTTGACGTCACGAGGGCCGGGGCCTATACACGGTCGAGAAACAGCCCGCGACTGGAAATCTACCCCCGGACATGTACCCCCAGACATCTACCCCCAGACATCTACCCCCGGACATCTACCCCCGGAAATCTACCCCCGGACATCTACCCCCGGAAATCTACCCCCGTGGTCAGCTACGCTACGTATCGGCCAAGATGCATTGTTGTAATTGATTTTATTAATTGGTTTATGTAAATAAACAGCTCTTCGGTTATTCATTAGCTTCTAATATCCAGTATAAAGCATGCGATATGTCGTTCTCATGTTTAACATTATCTATCTTCCTAATTCAATAAGCTGAAACAGTCCATTTTCACCCGACCTACTTCGTCGATTTTTACGATTGAGGTGTCATTTTAAAGCTTAAGACCCATTGTAGCACATTCTTATATTCAGAGAATGTATAACGCTTAATATATATATACAGGGTGAGTTTTAATTGTCCCCCCCCCAACTTTTTTCTACATTTTTTCAAATATCAATCCCAGACCACTTCCAAACATTGTTGGGTAGTAAGTACTTCATTTTGACAAGGTGGTCATTTCCGGCTGCCATCTTGGATCCGCCATATTGGATGCAAATTTGTTTTTCAAATGTAAAGGTGGGGTTACACTTTTTCACATGGTTTTTTT